CCCTGTAGCCCCAGCTGTCCTGGAACTCACTATGGAGACCAGGCTGGCCTTGAACTCACAGGGATCTGCCTGCCTCTGCCTCCCGAGTACTAGTATTAAAGGTGTGTGCCACCACACCTGGCTAGAAATAACTTTTAATGTGCAGGTTTGCATTATTTAAAATAATAATTTGTGATAGTACTTGTATATTTTGAAATTCTAGCTTATCAGAAAGTCAGATTAATTATTGTGTTATATACCTCATTATCAAATTTTTTATATAATTTAATTTTCAGAAGTGCTATGAAGAATTAGAAGTTTAGGAACAATATAAATGGTAACTAAATATGTATTATTGCAAAGAATAAAAGTAAAAATAAGTTACCTTGATTTTTACCTCTTAACCTTGATTTTTCTGAGAGAAGTTTTTCTTGGTGTATATTTTGCTTTATGGTATAAGTTTCTGAATTTCTGAATTATATATGTATCGAGTTCTAAAGTATTTGCAATTAAGAGAAAGAAAATCCCAGAGATAACATGAGGAAGTGTTAGTAATTGTGTCCATTACATTGCGAAGTTAGAATGTTCCATCAAATCCTAAAGGAATTTCCCTGCACCAACATCACAGCATTCCCCTGAGCTATTCACCTCTAAACCATACAAACCCCTTGAAATTACTTAACAATGTCCTGTGAGACAATAGGGTTAAAAATGACCTTCGTCCAACCTTCTTGGAGATCATTCTGCTGATTTGTATTTGACTAACATTTTTGTAGTTTTCTTCCCTCTTTATATAAATAAAACGGTATGTGCCATCTAAAAATGCACCCCTGAACCTGCTCATTTACTTATCTTTCCCCCATTCCCCTTCCCTTAGAACATTTTCTCCCTTTTGTTCTCCCAGTGTGTCTCACTTCCACTTGTATAGATGTGTCTGGAAGTTTCTGGGCTCATTATAACTCTTTCCTCAGCCTGTATGGGTGTTTTATTTAAGGAAGCACGACAAAGAATGACTAATATTATATCTATTACTCTTCTGTTGCTGTGATAAAACACTATGGCTAAGGCAACTTATAGATGAGTTTATTTGGACTTATGGTTCCAGGGGTTTAAGAGTCTATTGTGGTGGGGGAGGCATGGCAGGTAGAGGTGGTCTGAGGAGAAAGCTGAGTGTGAACATCTCCAACTACTTGTCAGAAGCAAGAAAGCAACTGGAAGTGGGATTAGCCTGTGAACTCTCAAATCCAGCTTCCAGCAATGTGATTGTTTCAACTAGGCCACACCTCCTAAAGGTTCCATGACCTTTCCCAAACAGTGCCACCAACTGACCAAATGTTCAGATACTTGAGCCTAGGTGTGACAATTCTCATTCAAACCACCACAAATAGGAAATAATATTTTACATTTGTAAACTTCTTTGATGTGTATTTTGTTTAAATATTTAGTATCTTCACAATTTTTGTTTTACCTCATTTACACCTGAACAACATCTCTTTGGATTATGAATTTTAGAAAGACACGAATAATTTTCTTTGAGATTGTAGGTTTCTGGAACTGCCAGTTACCAATGGTACAAATATTGGTATCAGGGATAGAACTTTGATTTAATGAGAACATTTAGTGACCACAGTATCAAATTTGATGGAAAAATAAACTTCAGGAGAAATTAAATTCTGTGAGAATTTCTTTATGAAGGGAATAAAAATTTTCAAATATAGACTCATAAGCCACCAAAGTTCAAAAAATTTATGGCTGAAAATGAATAACACTAAGCATGAAAATGATTTGATGAGACATTGAATATGCTATATGAATGCATATTCAAAAATAATATCTTGAATGAATTAAAGTCAAGGTAAAAATCACATATGAATACACAGAGTACTTCATGCCAAAGGTGCTGTTTATGAAAACATTAATTAAAGGAAACTTGGGATGTGCTTGGAATTTTAAAATTATGCTTCAAGACCAAGAAATTTGCCAGTGATATTAAATGAAACTCACCTTCACATATGTTAACTTTAATTCCTAGCATTTATTTGATTTGTCAAGAACTGGTCAATTATACTGTCATACTCATGAAAAATTCTTTATCTCATTCCCAATGGATCAAAGTCCCTTAGATTTTGAAGTACCTTTTAGCAGACTATTTCCTTTATGAACTAACTTGATTCAATCCATCAAACATGAGTCTGTAATTTTTTACTTATGTTTCTTTGCAAAACAGAGGCATTTCTTCTGCAAACATCACCTACTGTTTCTGGACTATAGCTCCCGTACTTTGAGTGCTGTCTTTCTTTTCTCTTAATTTGTCAGCAATTTTATCTGAAGTTGTGACTTTGAAAATACACGGACATATTTTGATAATTCTAGGAAGGATCTTTAAAGGTAGAAAAGGTTGATCTTTCTGCATATTTAAGTATGTCATAAAAATTTAGGGTATCCATATTCGTTTAGTGTTCTTAAATAATTTTAGTGTCCATTTTTGACAACCCCCCAAACGAACTTTAAATCAGTTATCCTGAAAATATAAGAAAACCATTTTCATATCTCCCCTGGAGGAAGGAATGTTTTTAAAAAAAGTATTATATATGTTTTAAATTAATATTTTAGAGATTGCAGAAAGATCACTAACAAGTTAGTGGAGTGATTCATCTTTAATGAAGACACTGAGGAATACTGAAGAAATACATTTTCATAGATTATCACCTTTTGTTTCCCATTTTCCTACGTCACAGGGATTCACAAATGTTGACTCTTTCCATGCCTTTCTCTCTTTTGTAACAGGCATTTTACATATGAATCTGCTTAACAAAATTTTACTTCATAATTTTAATTTCCCAGACACACTGATGTCATATTCTAAATTTT